GAGAGAGAGAGAGAGAGAGAGAGAGAGAGAGAGAGAGAGAGAGAGAGAGAGAGAGAGAGAGAGAGAGAGAGAGAGAAATGTTTTTATTGAGGTCTAAGGTGTTAGCTACACAGATTTCCAGGGAGGCTTTTAATTTGCAGGCACAAGTTCCAGGAGTTCATACTGGGGCTGAAGAGACTCAAGTTGCATATCTTCAGTCTATGTGGGTTGTGAGGGGCATCTGTGCCAATAAGGCACAGCTAAGCTGTCCTTGGCTATCCCACAGGGAAGTAGACACCAGTCCTGTGAAAGGCAAACATCTGGATCAACCACATGAGGAACTAGGGCAGGGAGGTGAGAATTGGAATCTTACTCCAGGCTGGCTGAGCCATGCTTTCTGAATGAGAAAGTCCCTCTGCTGACCTACCAACCCCACAAGATCGCTTTCTCTTGGCACCTCCATCTGGAATTTCTCAAACTTCCTGACTTCAGAACAGAGCTTTGAAGCCTAAGTCTTAAGACAAGAAAAGGGGTGGTTCCAGCTGAGGCCAGAGAAAGACTAGAATGTGGAGATGTGTGTTGTGTAAGGAGGCTTCACTGTCCAGCTGGTTGTAGCTCAGTGAAAAGTGTTTTCATGGCATGCACAGCATTCTGGGTTCAGTCCTCAGAACTGACCAGCTGGAATTCATGTTGGGCAGTACTTTCCCAAAATCAAACTGTAGGCTGGAGACATGGCTCAGTAGTGAGAGCAAGTACTTCCTCTCGCAGAATTCTGTTCTATCACACATGGCAGGCAACTCACAAGTGCCTGAATCTCCAGCTCCAGAGGATCTGATACTCTGACCTCAGGGGGCATCTGCACTCATGTGCACATACCGACCATCTCCAGGACATGCATACATACACATTACTAAAAAGAAGAAAAATAAATCTGTTTTTAAAAAGCAAATTGTGTTAAAATTAACAAAGAAGCTCATTAGAAATACTAAATGCATGAGATTGAGCTGGAGTCCAGAAGTCTCTGTTAATGACAAGTTTCCAGATACTTCAGAGAACTTCTGATACAACCAAACTTTAGGAACCATTTTGAGTACATAGCAGAATCCTAAATGACTCCAGGGTGTATATATAAGGCCAAAGGAAATCACCTGTGTTTCTAGGCTGGGCAGAGCTTAATTTTACCTTTGTTTTTGTTTTCGGAGTCCCATTCCATCTTAAACTTGCCTGGAACTCAGGATGCCCCAACTTCCCCCCCAAGGGCTGGGATTATAGGTGTGTGCTCCCACAACAGGTTGTCTAGGACTTTAAGAACTTAGAGAGGATATCTTATGCAGCTGACAATAGTTATTTTATAAAATTTAATTAAGTTTTTAAATGTCCAGGATGTACAGAAGGTGGGAACCTTCACTGCAGTGTGGAACTCCTAGGTCTGTTGTTTCTACAGTGTCCCCTAAAGGCTCAGGGCAGGAGAAACCAAGCTGTGGAGGAGCTGGGAGTCCCAGCCTTCCCAAGAGCAACTAGTCAGTCACAGCATGCGGCTCCATTCTGCCATTCTCAAGGTGTGGGGAGAGGTTTATCTTGCCAGACTAAGTCAAAATTCTGTGGACAGTAA